AAAGCAGATATTTCTACAGAATTGTTTCTATAGAGGATCTGGGAATAAAATTTCCAGATCTGGAATAAGCTTCTTCTAAACGTCAAGTGCGTTTGGCCATTAATTACCATTTTTAAACTTAAGTAATTGCTAATAAACATTAGAGGAACTTCAGAAGCAAGATCAATAAGAGATCACTTTTTATTTAGAAAAGTTTGATTTTGACCGCTAGAAAGTATCAATGGACTTTCGCATGTAACAAAAAATATCTTTGTTATCGTTTTTTGTCAATCCGTCTCTGTGCTGGGACGCAACGCTTGAACCTCGCAGGTCGACGGACGGAACTCAACTGAAACGCCGCAACTGAATCAATCTGCCGATATTCGACAGATTGTAAAAACTGGTAGAAAATATTTGGGAGAGTGCAACTACTCTTTTCCTTCTACTATGGTATAAGTCTGAAATTCTTTTACTTTCAATACTCAGTCATTGTCTACCATATTCAAAGTAACTACTATGAGGTTTCCTTCGCAAAAAAAACATTGAAAATTTTGGATTGTTTGTTTTTAGTTAAAAAACAAATTTCTTCATAATATGGCAACATAGGTAGTAGGTTAAATTTACAATAAAGAAAATCCAGAAAACATCCAATGGCTTTCTAAATTTAAACATAAATCATTTGTTTTGATTTTCAATGTAAATTAACTCAGTTATTTTAGACTTTTTTGAAAAACAGTAAAGAGAAAATATGTTTGTTTTATCGAGACCAGCCCTGAAAATGTTTGCACTTATTTAAAACTCACCCTATATAGCTGAATTTTAAGTTATTGATAAAAATCACGTCAAATTGTCTCATGAAAGATGAGCGAAAAGGTATTATGTTGATTTTTCATTGAATTGAGAAAATAAATATGTTGTCATGAAATTAGTGGAGTGATTTAAGCCTTTATGGAATACAAACCTCGGAATTCAATTACTGTGAACGAATTTTTATAAAAAAATTTGCATTGTATTGTTAATAAGATATATTACAAAGTTTACCCATTTAAATTCGTTGCTTTCACTTTAGTATTTAAATAAACACACATATACAAATGCATACATACAAGATGGCTCCGTATTCCGTAAAAGCTCTGTATCAGGATTCCTATTTGAAATTTTCACTCCACACCTTTTACAAAATATGTGTTTAATGGTAGTTCACATTTCAAAAATATTTTTATAGATATACAGGGTGAGTCAAATATATATCTATATTTGTTTAGTTCAGTCCTTGATTAATATATAAACAAGGGTTCAGTGAATTTGCTATAAAATTCCGGGTCCAAAAATACCTTAATACCATAAAGTATACTAAATGGTTTTTGAATTATGACCACGTCCATGAGGACGTCAATCTAGACGTCCAGGAACCTTCGTATGAGAACCTCTAATTAAGACGATCGACTTATTGTAAGTTTATACCTGAGAAATCGCCGTTTGCCAGCTTTTCAAATTGATAACAAATTACACTTAAGTAATTGTACATATTAACTAACGGACTAAAAGAAGAAGATTAAATGAAGCAAGTCTTATGTCAAAAAGGCTTGCTTCGGGACCAGAACTTACTAGATGTGTTGACTAGGCCCAAAAGCAAAAGCATGGTCTTAATGTAAAAATTACGAAAAAATGTTAGTGTTTTCTTAAAAAGCGAATATTTCCAACCAAAAAACAAACCATCGAAAAAGGATGTATCTAGATGATAAAATAATTTTTAAATTTCTTGCTGTTTTAACATATTCCACAGAGTGTTTCAAACTTTCACTAAAACATCAACATTTTGTTTTCCCTCGTATAATTAACATATGGGGAGTTTCATTTTTAATTTAGAAAAAGATACTAAAAAGTCAAATAATTTGGCTACACACTGTTTAAAAAATCATCAAAATCGGTCCATTAAAACAAAATATATTAACCTTTAAAATACAGTACGTCTGCTGGATCTGTGTCTATGAAAGGAATGCGGACAAAAAACATTTAAATAAACAACAATATATTTTATACGTCGACTTGACGAGTACGTCACCGCAAATCGCTCCGCCCACTCATTTTATTGGCTACTTGCAAATTTGTCGAATTTTTATTGATGGGACGCGTCGTTTAATTTTTTACGAAAAACATGGAGAGAATATCGTTTCCCCTCTCACGGATACCCCGTAGCTACAGAACGGACAGACGTACTGTACATCAAAGTTAGGTGCCCATTTTCGTGCCGGTGGATGTATTTCCAAAACTATACATTTTAGTCATATACTTTTCTAACGAAACAAACCTTTATTTTTTCACTAGAAAAAATAAAAAAAAATCAATTAATATATAGGGTGTTCCATTACAAAAAAACATAACTTTGATGTGTAACTTTATTGGGGGAAACCCTGTAGAACTCTACATAATTTTAGGAAATGCTTTAAATTGACTTACATAAGCTCACAAAATTTCACTTCAATACGAACTTTTGTTCTCCTTGCAAAAATCGCGTCGTGTATGACACGTCACCCTATATAATTCAATTTCAATCAAAATTTTATTGATTAGAATATACGCAGAATAGGTATAGCTTATACATTAAATTTATTTATTTCAATAAATTTACTTAGAAAAAGAAATAAAAAAATCAAAAAATTAAGAACGAAATAATAATTAAGAATTTACTAAAAGTACTAAAGTAAAAAATTAAAAGCAACGAAAAAAAATGGGTAAACATTTTAGTATTTTATCTATAAAACACAATACAATATCACATTACATTCACAGTAATTGAATTCTGAGGTAAAAGTCTCTGAGCACTCCACTAAATAGTGAGTATATTTTTTTAGAACGTCTAATTTTTTTTCGAAATATACGACTAGAAAATTAATTTTAATAAATCCAATATAAACAGTGTAAAAATTATTTAAAATAAATTAGGGAATTATTTTGATTAACATTTTCTTTAAATGTATTTAAATATATGAGAAGACTTCGAAACTTTCTATTTTGAAATAAGTATTCATAATTCTCTCTTCTAACGAAGATTCCGTTATATTATAACCATAACTTGCAAAACTCTACATGAAATTTAAAAGCTTAAATATGGGAGTTTAACCTTTGATTTAACTAACTTTCTTTTAAGCTGACTTCTTAACATAGTATATCAGTCGTTTCAAAACTTTTGCATAATACTCCAGTTGAAATACAGGGTGGTCTGAACTATATTCCGGAAACTTTAGCAGCATATTCTGTAGATAAAAATAAGTAAAAAAGTTCGTATAAATGTATGTCCTAAAAATGTACAGGGTGGGTCAAATTCGACGCTTTTAAATGGAAACACCCTTTTCTATAGGAGATAGACAAAAACTAATATCGGTGTCTGGAGCTCAATTTTTATCAAAAACATGATGGTGAAAACCGCATATTGATATCTGTTACTTTTTCTGAGTTACGGGGTGTTTTTCAAAAATATGCATTTTTAACAAATCGCTGTAACTTTTTTGCTATGGAAAATTTTGTATTGTTATGAAAACATTTCCAAAGCACCTTTTTACGTAGAATTTAATGGTTTAAGTATATTTTTTTTTTAAATTAATAATTTAAGAATTATCAACAGAAAATTTGATTTTTTATATGGGACACCCTGTATATTTTTAACTTATTGAAAAGAATTTAAAATTACCTTTCCAAAAATATAACACACTTGATATTTTGCTCGATTTCTCTTCGAGATATAGTAATATATATAAAAATTCGCCCGCTTTAAATAAGTAGGCTTTGAACGGCACCGGCTGTAATGCAAAAAAATTCTAGCTGTGAGCATCAATTAAAACGAAAATAATATTTGCTATGAGAGATGCAGAATTTTATAACAATTTAAAATATATTTAACCAACATCACAACACATTTAAACTATATCTAATAACAATAAAAATAAATAGCAAACCAAGACATGAGATTTTGCTACAGGTGTTCGACATATCAACCGTCTTATGTTATGGAGAGACGGGGGCAGTTTTTGAACATTTCTCGCGGAATTCATTAATTCAGTGGGGGTGAAAGATACCCTCTCATAACTGCTAAGTATTTCTATTTCTTGTCTAGATTACGCAAGAATAAGGAACCTTTATTCTTCCCGCAAATATATCCATAGGATTAGATCCATGGGCACTAAGTCAAGCGGCCTCGACGGCCAACGGCTGAGATCTTGGTTAGCTATTCAATTATTCTTGAAATTGGCTGCAAAAATTTGCTGATAACTTCAGCGTTCAGAGGCGGTGCGTCGTCTTGCTGGAAAAATATGTTTTCGAGTTCCATTAAGGGCATATCATCAATAAGTGGTCCAAAGCCTACTAGTTTAAAGTGGCGAACTTTTAAAAATCCTGTATTTCGATGGGGATATAACAAAATATCAGGTGTGCTATATTTTTGAAAAGGTAATTTTAAATTCTTTTCAGTTAATTAAAAATATAGAGGGTGTCCCAAATAAAAAAATAATTTTTCTGTTGATAACTCTTAAATTATTAATTTAAAAAAAATTATACTTAAACCATTAAATTCTACGTAAAAAGGTGCTTTGGAAATGTTTTCATAAAAATACAAAATTTTCCATAGTAAAAAAGTTACAGCGATTTGATAAAAATGCACATTTTTGAAAAACGCCCCGTAACTCCGAAACGGTAACAGATATTGATGTGCGGTTTTCACCATCATGTTTTTGATGAAAATTGAGCTCCAGACACCGATATTAGTTTTCGTCAATCGCCTATAGAAAAGGGTGTTTCCATTTAAAAGCGTCGAATTTGACCCACCCTGTACAAGGATTTGTTATAATATTGGGTCTGAACGATAAACATTATTTACCATATCCATTTTTACAAAAAATAATTAAACGATATATGCAATCATTTTGGCCATGTGTGTATGTTGGAATATATCCCAACCCTGCCATTTTAGATAACGTAAATACAATATGGTAATAAATTAGTAATAGAGTAATTTTAATTTTCAGGAATTTTGTGAAACACGGAGCGCCTAGAGAAGTCAATATCGATAATCAAACGATGGACAAAGTCTTGGAAGGGATGAAGAACAACAGCCGTTACTGTTTCGACGCGGCCCAAGAACACGTCTACAACTTACTGCTGAAGAAGGACTGCTATCCGCGCTTCATCCGATCGGATTATTATAAGAACCTCCTCGCGAACGGTATACAACCCTTACAAAAGAAACGGTAAGTACAGCTTTATTCGTACTGCGTTTAGACGTGAGCTGAGTGTGACAGTTTGAACTTGAGGCAAGGCTCTAAAGTAAAAATTAACAATCGAAACCTTTTAGCTGTATAAATATCTGTAAATATGTAAATATTTGGAGTTCTAGAGGTAACATTACACCCTTTAATGTATTTCCTAGCACATTAATATCGTCTATTTGTCATATACAGGGTGGCGCACCTCATTCGCCTCGGTTGATATACGAAAACGGAAAGATGTAAAAACAAAATTATTTTATGGGTATAGTAGAGAGCCAATGTGCATATTTTAAAATTATTTTGAAATGTACAGGGTGTGTCAGAACTAAGATCCATATCAAAGTTATATTTTTTCTTATGGAACACCCGGTATTTTATTTCATTTTTAGATTCTTGGGCACAAAATAAGGCATTTATTATAAGTTTTTAATATGTTTAAATGCTTTAGTTTGTGATATATTTAAAGATATTTAAATATGCATGCCATAATAAAAAAGTTTGTCAACACCCTGTACATTACTTTTCAGAGTTTTTTGTGCTGACTTTGAAGCTAGAGAAATAAACTCTACTAAAAAAATTATTGCTTCCTTAAATGTATACAGAGGTATCAAAAATTGCTGGTCTATTTTAAATATTTATTTTACATAAAAACTTCGTTATTTCAAATACAATACTATGTTTTTTTAAAATAAGTCGAAGCAGATTTAAATGCTCTTTCAAAACTATATTAGGGCTCTTTCAAAACTATACCTATCTGGCTCAGATTTTGAATAAAAAGCGATTTTTCAATAAAATGGCAATCAAGATGGCTGGTGTCGCCATGGCAATTGGCTAGTGACAGTTAGTAGCTATTGTTACGTTTTTCGTCGGTTCCGTGTGGATAGAAAGTCACAATTTATTTAAACACAATTTATTTCACACTAAATAACAAACAATAACGATTAAAAAAGACTTAAAGAACTATTTATAACTTATTTACAATTTATCTAACTATTTATATAACAGGAATTTATTTTGAATATAGCGCGGCGATTGTAACTGTACGCGTCGACCGGCTGTTTATCTTTATCTCTTCTTCAGGCTTCAGGCGCCTGCTTATATAGGAGAGAAACAGACAATCCAGATTTATCTAGTCAATTCTTAGCCGTTCTAGAAGGTCGGCGTCGCCGGCGTATGAGTCATAGCCGAGTGGCCAAGCCCAAGGCCGAGTTCACACGGTACGGGTCCGCAACACTATTTTCAAAATCGACATTAGTTTATGGACTTTATTTAAATTTATAATAGTTTACTTTTATTTAATTTACCTACAATATTTTAATTAGTAAGTATTTATTATTTTATCAAGAAAAATAAAGTAGTTCTTTGATTTATATTACGATGACTTGTAAATATATTTGATTTTCTTTAAAAAGTCCAATTAAGGCAAATTCATTTTCTTCACTTCCATCGACAGGTTTCTGCCTATAGGTTTATCATATACCACACTATCATCTCTGCGAAATATGAAAAGGAGTTTTTCAAAGGAACGCTTTTCTAGAAAATTCTTACTTGGATATCTTTGAGCATAAACCCTTCAGGCCAACCCCCCAAGCAATTGTTCTCACAAAATAAAATCACTAGTAACATATCCATTCCTTCCGCCAGCAGATACGGTTTCATTTTTCTTGGCAAAATAATAAATACATACTTATTAACCTTATTGTAGGTAAATTAAATAAAAAAAATGGTTATAAATTTAAGTAAAGTCCATAAACTAATGTCGATTTTGAAAATAGCGTTATAAGTGTCACTAGAAAATTGCCATGACAACACCAGCCATCTTGATTACAATTTTATTGAAAAAACACTTTTTATTTAAAATCTGAGCCAGATAGATATAGGAAACCCTAATATAGTTTGAAAGAGCATTTAATTCTGCTTCGACTTATTCAAAAAAATACATATTATTGTATTTGAAATAACGAAGTATTTATGTAAAATAAATATTTAAAATAGACCAGAAATTTTTGATACCCTTGTATAAATTAAAGAAAACAATCAAATTTTTTAGTGAAGTTTATTTCGCTGGCTTGAAAGTCAGCAAAAGAATTAATTCTGAAAAGTAACGTACAAGGTGTTGACAAACTTTTTTATTATAGCATGCATATTTAAATATCATTAAATATCTCAAAAACCAAAGCTTTTAAACATATTAAACTCTTATAACAAATTCCTTATTTTATGTCCAAGAATCCAAAAATGAAATAAAATACGCGGTGTTCCATAAGAAACAATATAACTTTGGTATGGATCTTAGTTCTGACACACTTTTTCCAAAATAATTTTAAATTATATAAATTGTCCTCCCACGTATACCCATAAAATATTTTGTTTCTACATCTTTCCGTTTTCGTATAATCAACCGAGGCGAATGAGGTGCGCCATCCTGAAGAACATAAAATATTACCCGTAACTGAATTCTTAACACAAACATTTTATTGTGCATGTTCTAATAATATTTTTCTGTAGTATTTATTTCATGTAAATAATACTGCACTTCTAGAAAATAAATCTCGGATAAAGTTAATTTTAGTCAGATTGGCAGCCACACCCGGTGCATCTCAAAAGTAACTCACCCCTATAACTTTCTACTCAGAGTGTCATTTTCTATCGAATAAATTAAAAATATACCGAGGGTGCCATTTAAAAATCAAAAGTTGTAGTCATTTTCGGGGAAATAGGAAGTGACCAAAAACAATTGAATACCTTAATTATCCCTAATTTATGTCTTATACTAACATACCAAAATTCGTTTTTTATCTGAAAAGAAAAATAAAAAAGTTATACGGGTCAGCGACTTTTGAGACGCACCCGGTATATCTATAGACGTAGGACGACTTTTTCATTTTTTTCCCTAACCAGTCTTGAAGATAAATACATATAAATAATCGGTTAATAAACTCACCGGCAAAAAAAAACAGTCAACACTAAAAAGTAGTCCCAATTTCAAAGTTGGATTTCTCGCGAACCACTCATTAGATTTTGATGATTTTTGCTTTAAATTGTAAATTAATTCCTTCTTAACGGATGTGACGTCAGAAATGTTTATTCCGAATTTATTTTGAGCATATACAGGGTACAACAATAAGACGAAGTTTTTTGTCCGAACTTAGTAACACTCTGTAGGGTGCAGCAGCTGTAGTAGCTATTGCTAAATTAAATCACATTGTAGCCTCATCTTTTGTGAGCATTTTGTTTTTTTAATCCCGACATTATCTCTGTTTGTATTGGAGATACGCTGCTTTAAAACGAACGTCTCGGAAAAATGCTTCATAGGCAGAAAGTTTCTCATACAGCACATCAAATCACATTTACGATGTGTTTACATTATTAGATGTAGACACAGGGTGACACAATTCCCCTGATGTAAATATGATACGTTTACACATTGTAGTTCAACACGTATGCACAATGGTTAAACGTCCGCCTCACACAATGTAGCCACAGTATAGGATTTACGTATACACAAAGTAAGAGATACACAGTGTGCCGTAGGATACACAGTGCTTGTGTATTACGTTTAAACTTTATTTACACATTGCAGTTGTGACTACTGCGTGTATACGTATGTATTTTGCTTCGTGTATACATCTTGTGCTAGATAAAACTACTTCTTATGAACGAATTTAGGAAATAATACAAGTTTTGATGCCTAACTTTTCGTTCTTTTTAAGAAATATTTATTCAATAATACCAATTATATCTTTTTAGAACAAAAATTAAGAAGGCAAAACTTTGTATTTTCCAAAAGTATCTCGATCGTAAATTCAAGAGAAGTAGCCTTAAAATTGTTCCATTTTTGTTTTGTATTAAATGTACCATTTTTTTTTCCATAAAATGGATTAAGTGGTTAAAAATAAAATTCTTATATTTCTTTATATCAAGGAACGCAATAGCGCAAATAACACAATAATAATAATTATTTACACTGCAAAAACCAGAAGTAAGAAAACACTGTAAAAGAACAGAATTTGTATCAAAATATATTAAAAATATAAGTACCTAGTATAACAACATACTAAAATAGTAAACACTGGTATATCGCCACGATTTGGTGGACCTCGTTTAGTCATTTTTTTTTCTCTTCTTTTCACTTCAAGCAGTTATTTTCTTAGCATACTCATTCATCGAGATCAACAATCTCAAATTGACAATCCCGCCCTTAAATTTTATATGAAACTGATTATTGAATATTAAACATACCTGTATATTCATCCATCAATAACTTACCGAATACCAGTGTAAGAAGCTCTTTAAAGTGTTTAAATCTTTCTTTCTCTGGTCCATTTAGATTTGTATTATTTCCAAATTAAAAAAATTAGATTGCAGAGCTAACCTCTTTATCATTATACGAGAATATTTGGAGTTTTCATTCATTGGAGTCAAAATTTGGTAAATTGGGTATCGAGTAAGGGAAGAGTCGGTGCTATAGCATTAATAATACTCTTAGGAAGGTGTAACAAGGTAATTAAAAACTTGTGCTTACCTTAAAATCTCTTTTAAACTACACACAAACAGAACATTTATATAGAGCTTCCGAATGATAAAACAATAATGGCTGCTAACACATACCACTCCTAGAAAGGAGAAAGGAGAGAGAACACATAAGATACACTTGGTCGGTGTCTCTACGCTGAGGCTATCCGCGCGTGCGCACACCTTCATTTCATGCTAGAATGTAGACACAACAGTACACTATTACAAAGTGTCTATATCGAAATTTATATTATGTGTATACGTCATATTTTTACAAGGTGTGTACTATAGGCACAACTATGACACGAAGTATCACACATACATATGACATATACATTGTGTGTCTCATATACTGCAAAATAAAATTACACTAAATCACCACGATACACCAAAACACTTAATAACACAATACAACAATACACTGGACGCGCGTCCAGTGTAAAAGTAAAAGTGTTTTGGTGTATTGTGGTG